ACCTCATCATAGAAGGCCACTAAATTAGTCAAGCAGGATTTGCCCTTAGTGAAGCCATGTTGGCTGTCACCAATCACCTCCTTATTTTCTATGTGCCTTAGCATAGTTGCCAGGAGGATCTGCTCCATGATCTTGCCAGGCACAGAGGTGAGACTGACTGGCCTGTAGTTCCCTGGGTCTTCTTTTTTCCCCTTTTTAAAGATGGGGGCTATGTTTCCCCTTTTTCAGTCATTGGGAACTTCACCAGATTGCCACGACTTCTGAAATATGATGGATAGTGGCTTAGCAACTTCATCTGCCAGTTCCCTCAGGACCCGCGGATGCACCTCATCAGGTCCCATGGACTTGTCCACCTTCAGGTTCTTTAGATGGTCTCGAACCTGATCTTCTCCTACAGTGGGCGGTTCTTCAATCCCTTTTCCCTGCTCACAGATGACACCTTTTAAATCAGATCAACCTTGAGACAACAGATGAAGTTGAGAAATGAAGTTTCGAGAGTCTTTTCATTCATTTCAATTTATAGAGTCATGCATAGATCAGATATTTATTTTGTATAGACTACACTAATCTTATTGATGCTGATGTAATTATGCCCCTTTAACTTCTTCTGTGGATGTGGTATCCTGTACAAATATCAAGGTACAAAGGGACTCTTTCTGTGGTTTATCTTATGCCGCTTGAAGAAAAATGCCAGATGATGAAAAGATCCTGCAGTGCACTTGCATCTCATTGGAGTGAGACATATGCACATAGGCGTAGCGTGCACACTAGAGGAGGTCAGGAGGGCTATAGGGGGACTACATGCACAGGTGTGTATGGTGTCAGCAGAGTTAAATGGAGAAGCCTACTGTGAAAGTAGGAGATGAGTGGATATGACAAATTATTGAGAATCGTATCCATAGAAATGGAAAAACTCAAGTTCTGCATTCTTGTATCTTTCCTGTTTTAGAGCTTTTTAATGGAACTGGCTGCAGGCAAAGGTCAGCTGGGAGATATTGAAAACTTAGCTGTTAAATATGGAAGGATCAGTCCCAGCAAATATTCTGAGATCCAGATCTGGCTGGAAGAGATCAACAGCAGGTAAAGGTGCTACTGATAAAACAGGATTGTCTCATGGGGACAACTGGAGAACGGACCTTTCATGCACAATCTAGACAACAATGAGAGAATACCCACCTGATAGATTTTTATCTCCCAGAATTGATCTGAGGGGAGGTTTTTGTGTGTGGCTGAGGTTTGCTGTATTCAGGTGCAGCTGTTGCTGCCAAACAGACTGAGGCAAAGGGGCAGGGACTGCTCCCTGGGGCCACACTGGGCCTTGTAGCCAGAGCTTGTCCTGCTGCCCCATCCAGGGAGCAGAGCAGGTTGGGGGGCAGCCTGTAGTCCCCATGGCCTGACCAGTCTGTGAGGGGGGTGTCGTGGGTTAACCTGGCCGGCAACTGAGTGCCACACAGCCACTTGCCTGCTCCTCCCTGGTGGGATGGGGGAGAGAATCGGAAGGGTAAAAGTGAGAAAACTCATGGGTTGAGGTAAAGACAGTTTAATAGGTAAAGCAAAAGCTGAGTGTGCAAGCAAAGCAAAACAGGGCATTTGTTTACCATTTCCCATGGGCAGGCAGGTGTTCAGCCATCTCCAGGAAAGCAGGACTCCATCACATGTGACGGTGACTTGGGGAGACAAATGCCATAACTCTGAAAGTCCCTCTCTTCCTTCTTTCCCCAGCTTTATACGCTGAGCATGACGTCATGTGGTATGGGATATCCCTTTGGCCAGTTGGGGTCAGCTGTCCCAGCTGTGTCCCCTTCCCACTTCTCATGCACCCCTAGGACTGGGGAGTGCTTCTTGGCCCCTGACTCTGAGATGTTTAAACTGCAGCAATTTGTGTGTGTGTTAAAGCACAACGTGAATCCACCTACAGGTGACAGCAATGGAGTCTGGGCAGTTCTGTCTGTATTGCACTGCAGCAGCTCATTTGGTTACTTAAACATCAGGGTGAATGTGCCCTTCACAAATACTGAAAGGAACATCAAACCCTGTTTGACTTCACCAAGTACGTTTAGTGCCTGTTGTGTACATACTCCTGGCACCAGGCTACTCAGCTGGAACTGAGAGGCACAGCTGAGTCCTGATTTTGACCACCGTCATTTGCTGGCATCGTGTTCAGTCTGTTCTGTTCACCTGCGTAGGATCCTCTTGCTTGAGATGGCACTGAAATGAACTTTGATGTTGTGGGGGAGTGTTACTCTTCACCCTCTCAGCCCATTTAACTTCAGACGAAATCTTTATACAATAGAAAATACTATAAAATTTTCTGAATAGAAAAAGGATATAGCTCATATATTACAAAGGCTACAAATTGAATCTGCTCGCTAGATGAAGGCAAGTTCTGGAGTAGTGGCTGAGGCTGGATGCAAGTAATCTGGTTATCTCTCTCCAAGGTGGGAACGCATGGAAACTCTGAAGGAGGAGAAGGGCTCTGAGCTGATTGGAGTGGCTGATGTGAGGACCTTTCTTCAGGACTGTCAGAGCGTAGGAGTACTACTGCAAGACAAGATGGTCCAACTCAGGGATCTGGAACCAGGGAACTCACCAGCTGGGCTGGAGTCAGACAAGCGCAAACTGTCTACAGTGGAGAGAGAGGTCCTGGTGATAGAGAGGAAAATTGAATACTTGAGGAGCGTTGCAAAATCGTAAGGAATCTGCTCTTTACTTCCATATTCTTTGCTAGTTCTTCAAGATCATTTTGTAAATTATGACTATAAAGAGAATGAGTAGCTTATGAAATTTCTCTTGAAGTTTGTCTTTCTAGCAACCTGAAGAGCTGACTTGCCTGCTGAATTGAGATCATCTCTCTTGAGTATGGCTGGGTGATTGGTGAAATGGTTGCTTCCAGAGTTCACTGTTGTAGGAGGATAAATACCACAGGATTGTTTGTGACTCTCACAAATTGTCTCTACTAATGGGAGTTACTTCCATGTTTTGAACTAGGTATCATTTAGGTCCTGAAAGAGGTTAATTGAGGGAAGCAAGGATGAAAGAAGAAAGATAGCAGAGAATTGTGCACAGTAATTTGAATTTCTAATACAAATTTAAAGGTTTTTACTAGTTGAGGTTTTCTGTACATGCGCAATGGGAATAAATCACTGAAGCACAACAGTGTTACCAGAGTCTTTCACAAGGATGACTTTCTGCAGTACACCATATTCACACCAATATTTCTTGCTAGTGTGGAGCATTTGTTGCCTTAGCTGACTTTCTTTTTAATGGAAGTGTAAATATTCAAATTCATTCCTTTTAAAGAGTATTGATTCAAACTCTAAATGCCTAAAGTGTTGATCCAATTGAATGTATTTTATTTCCTCTTGTAGGATTAAGGACACTAACCCTGCAGAGAGCAGGGCCATCACTGAGCAGGTGCAGAACATGGAGAGGCTTCTGGCAAAGTTCAAGCAGGAGACCCAGAAGAAGCAGGACATTCTGCAGCAGGCCCAAAACCAACAGTCCTTCCTTCAAGACAGCCGCAGGCTGCTGCTGTGGGCGGAAGGCATTCAGGAGAAACTGAGCAGTGAAGAAATGGGTGTGGATGTGGCTTCTGCAGAGCAATTGCTGAAGGAGCATCAGGACCTGCTGAAAGAAATTAGGTCTCAGAAAGAAAGGTAGAGAGATTCTGTCAGGGTGGGCAGAGTGGGATGATGAGACAACAGTACTGTGAAGATTAAACATTTCTATCACGTAGATAAACTATGTATGAAAGTGATGCTGAGAGTTTATTAAACACTCTTGAAACTTAGCATCAAAAAGAGACTGCAGAACGCAAAATCCAGTTACCTTTTGCATACTTATCCTGATGGCTGATGGAGGGGGAAGGAGGAGCTATATGTTTGGAGTACTACTCCCCAAGCTTTCCTGACATTTGGATAGTGCCATCTGCACTTCTTTTTATGTTCCCTAAGTCCTTCCTTTCTAAGGCCTTATGCTTCTGGTTGTCGTAATCTTTAGTTCTCCTTCTGCACTGTTATGAAGTTCCAGATACTGAGTTGGCCTTCCTCTACCTTTTAATGGGAAAGCCTGCTTATATGGGCTTTCAATCCAAATGGGGACATCTCACCTACTGTCGCCAGCATTTATCCCTGAGCAAACAACCAGCTGCACTTTGTAGTGCACAACTATGGCTAGCAGGAAAAGAGTGAATAGGAGTTTAATGTCTAGGCACTGCCAAGAGAGCAAAGAGCTATGATGAAAGAGAATTCATATTCCCTCATGCAGTGAGGTCTTGCTTTTCTTTTTGACTCTGGGAAGATTTGTGCAGCTGGAAGAGCTAGGTCGCAAAGTAATCCACGAACAACCCAGTAACAGCAGGACCATAGATGTACACCACTCCATAGAGAGGCTTGCCAAGGAGAACAAACAGCTGGAGAAAATGTGGGAACAGCGACAGAAAAAGCTGCAGGATGGCCTGGAATTGCAGAAGTTCAATAGAGAGGGAGATCGTATCAATGCAGCCCTCTCTGGACACGAGGCCTTTCTCCGGGGGCATGACCTTGGGGTATGTACAGCAGCTGTTTTTGTTTTCTCCTATTCCATCTCCCCATCCAGGGAGTAGCAACAATTTTCTCATTTAGATCAGTTTCCACAGTCATGGCATTCTAATAATTGGAAACTAAACTTTCAGGTTCTTATGTTCTTACTCATCTTAATGAGAATGAAGATCATGGTCCCTCAAAAAAAATTTTAAAATTTTTGTGATTTGTTGCTGTGTTTGTATATGTCAGATGGTTTATATACGATTGACTCATCAATTTGGTGGCTAACGATTAAAACAAAGATTTCGGCTTGAACATAATTAATATTTTTTCGCAAAGTTAAAACCTAACTGAAAAAATAAAGATTTTCTTTTCATTGAATATTTTAAAAACATTAAAACAAATGAAGGGTAAAAACAAATGCAGGCAATATTCACAAGATCAGTGAAGGAGGATGTTGTGATATCTCACCATCTTTTTTATGTTTTCAGCTGAAACTGAAACTTTGGTACTTTTAGGTAAACTAAGTGGAATAAAGTTTTACTTTGGTACAACCTTTTGTATTGCATGTACCTAGATGTGCCAGAGTGCTGGCATAAATTCAGAATGCAGATTTTCTTGAAAGGTGAAAATGAAACTATAATGGAAACATAAAACAGAAGAACCAGCTATGATACACATCTAAACAGTTCCTGCTTGTTTGTAGCCCTGAACATCCTTAGGCGCATGCAAAATGTACACTATGCCACCTGTCTGAAAGGGAAGAGGGAAAATAAGGTCCAAAATTGTTTTTCATTGCTAGAGAAACAACATATGACCAAGAAAATACTTGATCAAATTTTCTTTCTTAAATGCAGGACCACGTAGATGCTGTTCGAAGCCTGCTGAAGCAGCATCAGGAATTTGAACAACTGCTGATGGCACTGAAGAAACGAGTTGAAGCACTTAATGGAAATGGGGTGAACCTAATAAAGAGCAGGCACTTTGCATCTCACATGTGAGTCCAAACTCCTTCCTTTTTTATTTAGTTTTAATAAACAATCCAGTGTGATTAAGGTGAAATGAAAAACTTCCTCTGAGCCAGAACTTAGTTGATCTCCAAGCTGTGATCTGCTGGATGAGAGGGAGGAAGAGATTTTTTTTTCAAAAAAATACAGATTTCCACTGCTCTCAGGACAAATAAGCAAAATGCCCTGGGTTAAAAGTGGCATTTGACAGAACGCTAGAATAATTCACCTTATAACATAAATTACATATAGCATTAAAACATCCTGAATGTAAACTCATTAAATGCCTACATAAACCAAATTTTCCTTCATTTATCAGTATCACATATTAGAATTAATATTTGCTGTTAAAAAGTCTCAGAAAATTTCACAAGGAAATAACTCATCAGGAGCAACACCTTCACGTTTTTGTCAAAGCTGAACTTTCATCTGTAATTCCTTTACTGTGCTAGAGCCAGTACAATCTAGTAAGGGGACCTCTGCATAAACATGAATTAGAAATACAGGGTCAGAATGGACCTTCTGGGTCAAAAAGACCATGTTCTTGTGATCACAAGTGACATTGTCTTGAAAATTCCCTCCACAAATTTATAAAACTGCTCTTAAAATCTGATTTCTTGCCAGCACTCCTACCATTAGTAGACCATCCCAGAGCCTCATTGCACTTACTTCACAGAGAAAATTATTAGTTAAGATGGAATATTTGGGAAAGAGAAAGATGTCTGTGTGTTTTAGTCAAACATACATGACTGCAGTTCACTAATGTCACACAGCCATACAAAAGGAAAATTCAGAGCAGCTAGCAAGCAATAGCTGCTTTCCAGATGAGCCTAACATGGCCATGGGATAGGGCGTATATCCCTTTGTCCTGTCAATTGGCATGTTGAACTAGATTCCATTTATATCATAGTCATGACCACAGTACAAGCAAGGGGAACTATGACTAGTATTGCATTGGACTTACTGTTTTTCTTGGTAGTATTGAAGAGAGAATGGTCACTCTCCAGCGAAGGTGGGAGCAGCTGATACAAAGCAACGCCGAGAGAAAGCAGAGGTTGTTGGAATCCCTACAGCTGCAGGTAAAAGGACTGATACCGCAGATTTGGTCAGGCATGTGTGAAGTAGTTTTGCTGTTTGTCTTAATATGGGACAAATCTTGAATTGCTGAGCATTCCTACTGCAGCTCACTTTCTTTTTGTCTATAAGACAGAGAATTTCACTCTTCAGGGAGAAGGTGATGCATTGGTGATAAATCTTACAAAGCCATAACCATAGCAAAATACCAAAACAAGGATGGAGGTATTGAATAGAAAATATCAACAGAATATTTTGTTTACTGGATAAGTTTATTCTGCTCCTTACTTATTATTGTTCTAGGCCTGAATAATTCAGCACAGTTACTTACGGTAACTGTACTTTTGGTACCAAATTTAGCTTCCAGTGCTGAAATACAAAGTTATACTGGAGGACTGGACCTTTTATGGCTATAACAGTCTATCAAAAATACAAACCTTCACTGACAATTAAAGGCAACAGATTAGTAAATGTGGTAAAAAAGAGACTAAGAGATGTTATTCTGAGGGCTTAAAAACTCGTCAATGGTTCAAGATCATACCTCTTCAATTAAAAGTGTTGATAATGTAGAACAATTTTTATATGAAAATGTATCGTTTTCCTAACTGTTAGGAAAAAAAAAAAAATCAGGGCTTCATCCTAAGAGCAAGGATGCACTGCAAACCCACAAAGAATTAGAGATTAAATCAATTTAATCCTGTTTGTTTCGTAAGGAGTTTAATCGTGATGCTGCTGAGCTTTTGATATGGATGGAAGAGAAGTACAAGATTGCATCAGATGAATCCTATCGTGATCCAACAAATGTTCTACGCAAACTGAAGTGGCACGAGGCTGCTGAGAAGGAAATGATGGCTAATGAGGAGCACTTTGCAACACTGATAAAGGTGAAGGCAGTCTTGGAGCTAAATCTTCCATCTTGTCCCAAACTTCACAGATGCTGGTCCGCTCAAAAAAATTATGTGTTGTGTTTCTCCAGAAAGGAAACCAACTGATTCAAGACAACCATTATGCTGCAGTTTCTATCCAGGAGAAGATGTCAGAGCTTCAAAAGAAATGGAAGGAATTGTATGGCAAAATGATAGAGCGAGGTGACAAGCTGAGACAAGCTGGGCAGCAAGAACAGCTCATGGAACTGCTCCAGGTCAGAAGGCGATAGGAAACAGAGGGGAGGAATGGCCTAGGAGCCTAGTTCCTCTGTTGTGTGGTCCTTACAAAAAAGAACAGAAAACCATACAAATAAAAGTGTATTTTGAGGTGTCCATTTTGTCTACAGTCTCAGAAGAGAAAACCAAATATAATGCTGACCACATTCACTCCAAAGCTATGAGCAGGATAATAGTGCCAGCACAGCACCAATACAAAAAGCTGTTGAACTCAGGCTCAGCACTGCATCTGTGTGGTCATCCTGTACTGGGAAAACAATCAAAACTCGCTGCATTTGTCAATGCTGTGCAAACATAACTGCTTGCTTGGAGTCAGTTTGGGGGTTGGAGGCATGACGTGTACGAAGTACATTGTCATCCAGGCAAATTGTATAGGACGAACAATGTGCTCTGAAGCTGTTTCAATAACAGTATGTCATAGAGTTGCTGTTGTGTTGTAGCTACAGTCTGAAACCTTTGAAGATTGTTGAACTGTTTCGTATTATGTCACCGAAGATAGTTTAAAGAGGCTATTTTTAATGATGTGCTTTACTGTCTCAGAGAGAAGTGTACTCCAAAATAGTGCGCAAAACAAAATATTCCCAAGAGATGCCCCTTAGAGGCACCGGGCCATCTTGTTAACAAGAAAGGGCATATGGATTAAAAGTTGTGTCCAGGAAGCTGTCATGGGAGAGGGTGAGTGAAAGAAAATTATGTTGAAAGGTCAGTACAAGTGTGCCATAATCTTTTCCTGTCAGGATGCCAAAAAGAAGATAGAGAAAATTGAGAAAGTTCTTCAGGAATCTGAGACAGGCCATGATTTGCGCTCCAGCCGTGACCTACTCAAGCAGCACAGACAGCTGGAAAACGAGACACGTGAGCTGGCAGAGAAAATGAACTCTATCGTATCTCATGCGAGGAAAATGGCCACCAATCACTTTGACTCCCAGAGGATTCTAGATGAAACACAGAAATATCTGAAAAGGTGAGGAGTCACTCTCTTTTTATCTCCACCCATTGTGACAAATAACATTTTTTTGTTCTACCTTCTAGAAGATGTCTTTTGGTTGATTAGATTTAACCCCTATTCAGGAATGATTTCTCCTCCCAGTTGTACCATAACTGTGCTTTGATCTGCACCTATGCAGCTACCTGTTGACCTATCTCAACCTTTATTGCTGCACCTTGTTTCTTGCCTGCTGCACTCCTCCTCTAGTCCTTTGCTTATCCGTAAGTCATCCACTGCTTTCTAAGAGGTGCGGTGATCCAGCATTCAATAGTGACTAGTCCCTTAAAACATTACAAGACAAGCCTAGGACTTCAAAAGTGTAAATCACTTTTCCTCTGCTTACGTTTATTGTTATCGTATAAGCCTACTTGCCAAAAGTTAGTCTTCTGGAGAAGGAATTCTTGTATGTACAGCCAGCACTAACCATTAAAATTTAATTGCAGAGAAGTGTCCAGTGTTTTCTAATCTTCACAGTGGTATCATAGCCTAATTCACTTGGCAGAATCAGGATAAAGATTTGTTTTAACATATATTTAATGGGTGACCTCCAGGTTTGAGTCGTTGCAAGCACCTCTTGACGAGAGGCGCAAGTTGTTGGAAGCTGCAGTGGATCTCTATGAGTTCTACCATTATCATGACATGGAACTGAACTGGATTAATGAGCGATTGCCTATTGCCCATTCCACCAATTGTGGGAAGTCCTTGGATGTGGCTCAAAGCCTGTTTCAAAAGCACAAGGTAACTCAATTAATGGAGTGTATTATAGCATGTTGGCACACTACATTTCACCTCCTGCACAGTTGTTCTTCACCTTCAGGAAGCCTGTTGCAAGCAAAATGTATTGTCACATTTTCAGTGAGTACATTCACTGATTCCAGAACTAGCCCAACTAAAATAGTTCCAGTGGATTGAGACAAGTCAGCAACGTGGTGATGATTTTCAGAGCAAACATGAAATTTGTCATATTTTGGAGTTTTATTATTCTGAGAAATTTTGTAGCTCTTCCTATTAAAAGTGGATAAAAAGCTAGTGTACCTCATACTAAATAGGAAAAAAAAGAAGAGGTTTTTGCTTTGTAACCTACAAATTGATCTGAGTTCAATATTTTGGCTGTTGTATGCTCATCCTATTTTAGTTCTATGTTTACTGCTTCATTATACATGCAGTCTTGAGGTCCATATGTGTTAGATTCTCTAGGAGAGCATATAACAGCAACATATTTACAAAGACAAGTTAACACTGGTTTCCGGAGCGTTTGATTCTTTATAGCAGTGCCTCACAGCCAGAGAGGCATCTCAGAGTTGCCCTGCACCACAGGCATCACTGGATTTTGCAGCACCTGGATTGAAAGTTACATGAGAAAAGTTATAAGACCAGTGGGGGAGGCTTTATGGAGCACGAGTCCAATGATTTTTATGGTACTGTTGACAATGTCTCTCTTCCCATCATCCTCCATCCCATTCATCTTCTGGGTCATTTTATTTTCCCATCAGCAGCTCAACACTCTTTTCTGAACCCCCCAGCTTTGTGTCTCATCCCTCATGCTGCTTCAGGTCCCAGACCTCCTCAGCTTCTGGGCAAGGGAAGGGGCAGGTGCATGGTAAGGAGAAGGGGTAGAACCAGGCCAGAGCACCTGGTTGAGGACTTCTGTGCGTAATGCTGAGCGTGTAGTGAAGTTAAGGGATGTCTGCCCCCACCTTACAGACTCTTATCGCCTCCCTCCATGGCAGCACAAAGAACAGAGCATTATACAAGCGAGGCTGGGACTGGTGGTTGAGGCTGCAGCTGTTGTAGAAACAGACAGTCCTTGTGTCCACTGACTGTACTGCACCCACTGTCACCAGCTGCCAGTTTTGCTTAGGACTAGGAGCACATAGAATTTCTTTGTCCTCACGTACCCTTCCTGTATTCCTATTTTTTCTTTTATCTCATTCTCAGGAACTGCAGGCAGAAGTGAATGCCCACAAACAGCAAGTCCAGCGCGTCCTGGATAAAGGAAAGACCATGGTTGTAGGCCAGCATCCATCAGCTCAGAAAATAAGTGAGAAATGCCAGGAGCTTGTGACTGCCTGGCAGGGCTTGGAGAAGGCCTGTGAGGAAAGGATGAAGCAGCTGCAGCACTCAGTTGGCTTCCAAGAGGTACAAATTATAGCAAAGTGCTTACACAGTAGCTTCTTCAGACAAACGAGGAGCAAAGTTGTAAAGTGAATAAAAAACCAGCCTTACTCGGACTAGTATTCACTTCAGTTGCTTGAGGCCAAACTCCCGGGAAGAGAGGACTGGGCTGCATACCTGAATGCAGCCCCCAGTCTAGAGCTGCTGCTCTAGAGGTTTGCCTTGGACTCTGTACCCATCCCTTATGGTTGTGTGTAGAACACACATTTCTCCTAGTAGCAGCTTCTTTCTTAATGTCTTTGTACAGCCTCAGGCTTTGACTTAAGTAATGCAATCGGTGCTGAACTGACTCTTCATACTGGAGAATTTATGACAAGGAAATCAGAAAAGAAGCAATCTCTTGTGCCATCCAATCTTTGCCTGTTCTAGGCAACAAAATGATACTGCGAATCTCTTTCGCTCTCAGCACGCGTTAGGACTTTTGGCCCTATTATTTTCAACAGGACACTGACCTTTATGTTTAGCCTGTTAAAAAAGATCATATATAAATATTTATCTAAATCCAAATTTTCTATCATCAGTGGATCATGCAGGAGTGCAGTTATTCAGATAATGTGCAGTTTTGTAGACATAAACAGCATTTTACGCACAGAGTTCACAGGCACACCTAAAGTATATTCCCTAGGGAATTTGATCATCTGGCTCTTATTTCGTCCATCTGTAAAAAGAGCTGTCCATGCTACAGGCTTTTTATAGGTGATTTGAACTCCTCAGGAAGAGGAAGGGGAAAGGAGAAATACCACACTGATACTATACAGTTAGCACCTTAGTGAATAAGGTACAGGAAGAGTCAAGTAGGGATAGTGATGTGATGTGAAGAAAGAAAAGTGAGACAACTGGAAACTTACTACCAGAGCTTTGATGCCTGGAGAAGACCTTAGTTACCCTGCACTGAAGTCTTCCATCTGTGTCCTCCTTCACCTTCATATGGTTTGACAGAACAGTGTGGAATAGTAGTTCTTGAGATTAAATTAACTTTATTTGTTATTTAATAAAACATCACAGTAAATCTTACACTGCACTCTCCATTTAGAATTTATTAGGTTAAAAAAAAAATGACATGAGTATTTTGAAAACTGAGGAAGAAACTAATTTGCTTTCTCTTTAACTGATAGTTTTTAATGAATACTTCAGACCTGGAGGCTTGGGTAGCAGAAAAATATCCACTTGTGACAAGCAAGGACTATGGTAAGGATGAAGATGGAACACTGAAACTCCTCAAGAAACACAAGGTATTTATCTGCTTAAATTCTGAACACTGGCCTGATCTTCTGATCGGTCTGCAGTTGTAAAATTTTCTATCTCATTGATACTTAAGTGCCCAGCCATATACAAGACATTTCACGTTGATGTGTGTCTACATGTGAATGGACTGATAGAAGAGATCAATACAGCTTACTAATATGGTCGGAAAAAAACGTAGTTTGGGAAAAAAGCAGAATGGTGAATATTCTCATCTTATTTTTCTGAGGCCAAAACTGACTATAATGTGATATATCCTTTTCGGTCTTAAGAGATACATGCAGAAGCCTTATTTTTTTTCCTAGAATCAAAGATACAGATAGAGTGTTATTCCAGGAATACTTTTCTCTGCCTAATCATGCATCAGGAATTTCTAATTATTTTTATTTACCTAATTTGTTTCAATTTATATATCCTTTTTTTTTTTCTGAAAAATGTTGCTAGAGTATGATCTAAAATTGATCAAGTCTTGGAAATGTCACATGCTTCCATAAAGTTTTTCTCCTCTTTCATTGTCTCAATGACTACACCATAGGCAGGTGCATAAGTTCAAACAGTGGATATCTCAGACAACTGACTCTCAATCTACTCTTTTCTCTGCCAGGCACTGGAGCATGAGATTGCCATTTACCAAGATTTGATGAAAGAACTGAGTGAAAGTGCCCAAACACTTCCTCTTGTGGGCTCCATCGAGTATTTTGAGGTTGATGCACCAAAGGAACAAGTTCATTCAAGACTCCAAGAGCTGCAGGAACTAGCAGCAGCAAGGTATGAAGCAGAACTGCCCCTTGGATCCTGGGTTTGGTTCAAAGTCCACTGAAGTCAACAAAGAGTATCTCCAGTTACGTCCCTGGAGTTTAGATCATATCTCTTATCTCCTCTGTTTTCAATTGTACTTAGGAAATTACATGTTTCTATATTAGAATTCTGTGCACCTATGAGTCTTTCATTATTGCTGAACAAGAACTCTACATTTTATTCAGGGATTTTTGCTACATGTTAAGGATTTGAAGCCCCCAAATTTCCTCTTTACCCTTCATCATCCTCTTGTAAAGTGACTTGAGATGCCAGATTCTGACTTGCCTTTGTGGTATTTGGAATCTGCTATCGAAAGGAAAAAAAAGTTTTCAAAATATTTCCTTAATGTTGCTTGAAAATTACATGGCAGAAGGGAGACAGTTACAGTTACACTTGTCTTTATGCCCAGTAGCTCTGCTGGTATAGGAGGGATTTTTTTCTTGAATGAGTCATTTACTTTGTATTTCACTTCCTTTCTGTTATTGTTACAGTAAGATGTTTACAACAGGACAGTTTTCTTGCATGCAGGGTATTTAAACACTTCTGGTTTCTTGTCAGGAAGGAATAAATGTCTGAACAGTTTAGGTTTTTCATCCACAAAAATTTCACTCAGAAAAGGAACAGGGCTCTGCAAGCAGAATAACAAATAAATGAGTCTGAACACTAGAATAATTAAGCCTAGAGAAAATGCTGATATTTTACCTTTTGTTTTTATTCTTGTTTACAATTAAAAAAGTAAAAGCATCAATAGAGAATCCTGTGAATGAAAAGTTCAAAAAAGAAATACTCAATACCTAGAAATACCAAAATGGTTGTGTGTGCTGAACACAGAAATATTTTGTGTTCATTCGTGCTTAATGTTAACCTGGGTCTCATGGTGCCTTATTGATACTCTCGTCTGTACCTCTGATCTGCATTCTCCTTGGTGGACTGGACTCTCTCAGCAGGCTACATCTCTTGTGGGAGGCCTGTAACATGTCAGACTGTACTATAAGATACTCTAGATGATCAGAAATATGCAACAGGTTGTAGCAATTTTGCTGAACAGGCAATAGGAACAGAATTGCATAAAATGGCTTTCAAAGCACTTGCCTTCCTGGTGCATCATCCTCAGTTAGAAAGATTTCCTTCTCATTTCCATAGGTACTACAATTATCTTTAGAAAGACAGATCTGGGAAAAAATGAACAGTATTCTCATGGGAAGGAATAAAACCACCAAAAACCAAAGAAAAAACCATCACCATGGAGAGAGCTCAGCTAGGCACAGTGCTTTTCCGGGAAACTCAGCCAATGAGTCTGACCTGACTGATAGCTGTCATCCTACAAATGTAATTTGCAATCTTGAGAAATAAAGTCAGCTCTTTCATTAAAGTGAATGAGTCTTGATGGTGAAAGATTTTGATGATTAGTAGGAAGAAAGTTACTGATTTTCCTCCTCTTATATGCCCTTGGTCTAATTGTATCGCCTTGTCTCCTTCCCCCAACAGAGGGAAGAAGCTGGATGAAACTCTTGTCTTGCATGAGTTTCTACGAGAATATGAAGATCTGCAAGACTGGATCATTCAGCAGAAACAAACAGCCAGCTCGGAAGACTATGGAAATGATTATGAACATATCTTGGTGGGTTTTTTGAGTAATAGGTCGAAAATCAACCAAACTGTATGTAGTGAGACTGTAAAAAGATTCTAAGTTTGTCCTTGAAAACTTTTAAGACAGAGTATAAATAACAGGGAAACTGGAAGAGAAAAATGTGAAGAGTGAGTGGGACGAATTGAGTCATCATGACAGGCAGGCAGCGTTGCCTAACACTTACATCCTGTTACCATGGGGGCTGAGCTGTGTGAAACAACTGCAGGCTGAAACGTCTATGCCTTCGGAGAGCAACTCTTTTCTATTTTTAATAGCCAGATGTTTCAACGTGGTGTCCATTAAGGATTTTTTTCATCACAAATGCTGATGTACGGACATCTACAGCTATACCTCTCCACATGGCACAGAAGCTAATCTATTCTCAGCCCGTTAGGAATTAATAACCATTCAGAATCCACATTTTTATAATTTATTTCTAAATTACTTATGTCCTAAATCTTAAAATTGGACTACATTATTCAACTATAGTACTGAATACACATTTGCATTCATGAAGTGAAAACATATCATTTAATAATTGAAATGCATTGTGCATTGGAAGTTTGTTTCTATCCCCACTAATAATGTTTCTGCCTCCCATCTGCATCACAAACCTCATGTTTTGCTAACAGTTTGTAGCTCCTTATGGTTTTTGGAGGTAAAATCCAGTCATTCTCCGCGGTTTCTCCATCTTCTAATATGATCAGCTTATGATCAGTCTTTTAGCTGTGCTCTGATAGCTGAGCAGGTATGTTTGGCGAAAGAGAGCACTCAAAATGCCTTTTGGTAATTGTTGTTTTTTTCCCTTCAAAAGCAACTTTGTGCCAAATATGACACATTCCGACACCAGTTGGAAGCAGCTGGGAAAAGAGTTGTGGCTTGCCAGCAGCTGGCAAACAACTTGCTGAACTGTGGGCATTCTGAGTCTCGGGAAATTCGGCAGAAGCAGAAAGAACTAAGGTAGGAGACTCGTGTTAGCTCTATAATGCTTTGTCTTTTCAATTCACTCTCAAGGAGGAGGAAGTGAGAAGGAGTTAGAAAAGGATAAGGCATGTCGTCCCAATTGTCTAAATGCAAAATATGTGGTTTTCTCACTGATACAGAGCTGCTGTTATGCCCCAATTAAAAATAGACTACTGCCGACATTATCTGCTTCTTGATTTGGCTTCTTGTAAATTGCATCGGAGGTGTTTTACAAGTAAGGGATGAGGGAACTTCTTTTGCCTTTTGAAACAGGATCACCTAACTGAAAGGCTAGGAGTTTAGTTGCTTCTTTATTGCTTCCGATTTTTGAGTTTGAATCTCATGACTGCTCTACAGAACAACGTTAATACGTCTGAGCTTCTCATATCTGGCATTGGTCCAAACTGGCCCAGAAGGGAGGCATGAAGGAATAGTAGAGTCTGACTCAGTCCTTCATGTCCTGCATATAAAACCTGAAAAGCATATTGGAGAGGGGCATTCTTATATAGGACCATCTATTTAAGTGCCTGGAGCAGTCAGGAGGACATGGGCAGAGTAAAGTGAGAGACATGCTGCCCCTCATCTCAGAGAATCACTCCAACTGAATTTAATGGCAGGAAGTAAAAAACAAAGTAAGAGGAGGTCTTGTTTCAGTCTTTCTTCAGACTATTAATCTCCTTTACTCCTAGTTTGAGTATTTTACATGGTTCTTTTCCCCATCCTCCCTTGTAGGAACTCCTGGGAGGAGCTGTTGGAAATTACCAGATTACGAGGTGAGCGGCTGAGAGATGCTGAAGCAATTCACAAGTGCTACCAAGATCTGACAGATGCTGTGGCCCATATTGAGGTAAAAAATAATAGGAAAGCCTCATATAATGAGAACTTCATTTCAGCTTAATTTGTGGAGTATTCTTACGATTCTCAGCATGCTTACTGCTGACTTCTAAAAAAATCTCAGTAAGAAACCTGTGTGATTACTCAAAGTACTAAAAAAAAAATAATCCTGGGTAATCCTTAGATGCCTGACTGGTCACCTTGTGGGAACCGTTGGGGAAACCACATGCAATTAGAGTTGTTGATCTGTGGCATAAGCCAAGACCAGGGCTTGAACTAAGTTGTCTCACAATGCAATGTGCATAGTAATGTTGTTTGCAGTCATCAGGCCTGGCTAAGAAACTGTTTACTGTCTCACTTTCTTCTTTGTATACCACTGTAGCTTTATGTGCTGAAGAACTTATGAAAAAGGCATTTGTCTGGATTACAGTGACCATTGTCCTGGAAGGCTGTCAGGCAATCACGTGACCTGAGGCGAAAAACTGGGCTAAAAAACTTTTCCTCTCATTTCAGTGCCCCGTACTGGCAATAACTTCAAACAGTACCAGTGTGAAAACTTAGGGGAGAAGTCCCAATGAAAATTTTCAGGTTTCTGTTTTATCTGAGCATCCTGAAGGATTTCATGGAGAAACCACATCCTTGCTGTAATGAGAGGTGTGGTTTCCCTAATGCAGATGTGTACAGGAGGTGGCAATCCAACAGAGCTTCAACTGTCTGCAAGGCAACAGGGTTTTGTTAGATTATGTGTGGTAGATTCTCTTGCTTCTGCTCGCAAGGCTGCCTTATTCACCTGTTCTCTTTCCCTGCTGTGAATGGAAAATCAAACATCATAATATTTCACTGTATACCAGCTGGAGTTTTCAGAACCTGGTGCATATTTAATTTCAGTGATGAAGTAGTTAATTCTGTGGCAGTGACAAGTGATAGTTTCAGACTAGCTTTTGGTTCATCCCCATGCTGAATTTGGCCCAGGCGACTGTCGAGGTTTAGGCCGACCCAACAACTAAACTCCACACAGTCGCTCTCTCACTCCTTCCCCAGTGAAATGGAGAGAAGAAAAAAATAATAAAAGGAATGAGGGTCAAGACAAGAACAGAGAAAGAGCACCACCCACCAACCATGGTCCTGGGCAAAACAGACTCGGCTTTCTTAAAGCAAAACAATTTATTAGCAATTACTTAAAAGGACAAAGGGAAACAAAACCAGTTACTTGAGAGGATAAAAAGAAACAAAGCCAGATCTTAAAAACAACCCCTCCCCCGCCCCTTCCTTTTCTTCCCGGCTCTACCTTCTCCCCTAGCGGCTCAGGGGGACAGGGAATGGGGGAGCGCAGGTCAGTTCATCCCATGTTGTTACTGCCGCTCCTTTCTTAAAGGAGGAAGAGTCCTTACATGCTTTTCCCTTGCTCTGGTGGATCCCCTACTCACAAGGAAAAAATCCACAGACTTCTCCAACGTGAGTCCTGCCCACAGGATGCCATCCCTCCCCATTGGATTGCTCCAGTGCGGGCTTTACCACAGTCTCAGATTCTTAGGGAGTTGTTGCCACTCTCTCCAGTGTGGGTCGTCCTACAGACTCTAGATGCGTCTCTACCTTGTCGTGCGTTCCATTCTCCACGACCTCTCTCAGGCTCAGGCATCTCTTCTTCAACATGGGCTTCTCCACGGGCTGCGAGTGGGTCTCTGCTCCACCGAGCCTGTCCTGGCTGCCAGGGCGCCGCCTGCCGTCTCACCACCGGTTGCAGGGGAAACTCAGCTAGGGCACACCTCCTTCCCTTCCATCTTCACTGACTCGGTGTCGGTGTGGACATTTCTCTCAGATCTCAGTCCTCTCTGCGTGAGCTCAGCCCAGCGCGCACCCCGGGAGCGAGGCGCTCCCCGAGTTCCCCCAGCGACTCCGTCCCCGCCATCCTCAGCGGGTGGCGCCGGCATGGCACGAGCAGCCCTCAGCCAGGAGCCAGGGAGCGGGGGCGGTGCCTTCCTCCCTTCTCTCCTCACTCCTGGGCAAAGCACCTTTTCCGGTTTCTTTGTCCCAACTTAAATAGGGCAATGCGCAGAGGTGCCGATTGACTCAGCCCTGAGGGGGATGGGAGTCCGATCTGGTGGCCAGAACCGGGTCTGACCCGGTTCCAAAACCAGGGAAGTCACAGGGAGTAAATCCCCTCTCCTGCCACCAGAACCCCTTTACATCAAACCATCACAGCAACCAATACAAAATTCCTGCATCTCATCTTGTTAACAAGCTTCACTGCTGGGTGCAAGAGCAATTCATTCATCTTGCCCATCCCTTCCTGTGTATCCTGATCAGATATCTTTTCTTTTTGCTTGCTGGGTTCCCAGCACATGTCTATCTAACAACTAAATCCCCTCAGAACCTCTGTTGAGTTAAATAAACCTTTAAATCTCCCTTTATGTGATGGTTTCTCCATTCCTCTCATGTTTGCAGTAATCTTTCTTTGCATATATGCCGTTTTAACTCAATTTTCCTAAGCATGTGTAACTAAATTTTTATTTAAAGATGATTCACAAATAGACCACTTGTATCCCAAAGAATGGCCTGAAACTGCTGGTTGTTAATGGTACTTGAAGAATTCACTCAAGTCACTGCAGTAGCTATTCAAGATGGATTCTCAACTCAAAGCCTGTAAGACATTCTGCTGTATTGTCTGATCAAGGAAAGACTTGAACCTTCATCTCTCACAGACCAGCTGGTAGCTTAATCACTAAGATACTTACAAGTGAGTTACTGGGACAGATGTACTAGGACAGCATTCCCAGCTTCCTTTTACCTATCATAGTTGAGTAACCCAAGATATCCTTAACTGTGCAGTATGAGTTGCACTACAAAAAAATGACTAAAGTAGACTTGTAGTGTGTTTTGCTTGGAAGTAGAAAATAACAAAGTTTTCTCTGATTTTTTCCTTCTAGGAGAAGTCCAAAAGCATTCCAGATGATGTTGCTAAGGACATGAGAGGAGTGCAAACTCAGCTTCGGAACCATGTGGCCCTGGAGCACGAGCTCTCTGGGAATGAGCAGCAGGTAATGAAAGTCATTTGTGGTCTTTAATGTATAGCCAAAATTCAAGTTTCCAAGACAATTATAGTAATAATTTGGTATTGTGAACCAAATTATTACAGGCTCTCTGTGAGAGCCTGGAAATCTTTAATGATCTTCCTTCATCTTCTGGTTTTCTATTATGTTCAAGGTTTGATGGCAATAATAAAGTCAGTCATTTAAAACTTTACAAATAAGGGACATATTAGAATAAGCGCTGACTATTGAAGTGATTCACAAGGAAATTTTTGATCACTGTTCGAAACGTATAATTATGCCAGCCTTTATGATGTGTTTACCGCCTTCTTCAAAGTGTTCCAGGGGATTATAAGGAAAAATCCAGAATCTATTCTATGTGCAGAGAAACTGAATATTCATTGAACACAATGCAATGATTAACTATAGAGAATTATAGAAGGAAGGATGGGGTGGCAGTCTGGAATTTTCAGCAAGCTTAGAGGAGTAGAGCCAGCAATGGGCCCTTGTGGCCAAGAAGGCCAATGGCATCCTGGGGTGTATTAGAAGGGGTGTGGTTAGTAGGTCGAGAGAGGTTCTCCTCCCCCTCTACACTGCCCTAGTGAGGCCGCATCTGGAATATTGTGTCCAGTTCTGGGCCCCTCAGTTCAAGAAGGACAAGGAACTGCTTGAGAGAGTCCAGTGCAGGGCCACAAAGATGATTAAGGGTGTGGAGCATCTCCCTTACGAGGAAAGGCTGAGGGAGCTGGGTCTCTTTAGCTTGGAGGAGACTGAGGGGGGACCTCATTAATGTTTATAAATACGTAAAGGGTGACTGTCATGAGGATGGAGCCAGGCTCTTCTTACTGGCATCCCATGACAGGACAAGGGGAAATGGATATAAGCTGGAACACAGGAGGTTCCACTTAAACATGAGGAAGAACTTCTTCCCTGTAAGGGTAACAGAACACTGAACAGGCTGTCTAGAGAGGTTGTGGAGTCTCCTTCTCTGGAGATGTTCAAAACCCGCCTGGACGCATTCTTGTGTGATCCGATCTAGGTGGTCCTGCTCAGGCAGGGGGATTGGACTAGATGATCCTTTGAGGTCCCTTCCAATCCCTAACATTCTGTGATTCTGTGAGTAGGAATTACTGTGAGAAAGAAGGATAGAGCTTCTTATACAAACCTATGAAAAGTTTCAGCTCATGAGAACAGCTGTTGTTTAGAAAGTTTCCTTATACATAGAAATTTGCTTAGTTTCAACCAGACCAATAAAACTAGTATGAATTTTCTCTTCATCCCTTTGTTTAGTAAACGTAATGGTATAGTTAACATGACATGTGTTATATTGAGATTACTGAAGTAGTTATTCCAGTATCAATTATCAGCGGCCTCATATTTTGGTCTTGTGGCAGATAACACTAGAATTGATCCCGCGAGATGCTTGTTACTTTTAAATATAAAAAAAGCATGAGATATGCATGAAGAGAATGTAGTCTCACTTACTCTATAAGGTCACTGGGGAAAACAAGGTATGATTAGCTATTATTTGCATTCCTCGTGTAATAAATGGTTTAGTAAAAAGGAGAAACAAAATCTGCCTGCTTATTTGTAAAAGCACCGTTGTGATGAGCCCTAGCAAACACTGGAGGTCACTGTTATTCCGTAGAACAGAAATTAGGGCCACTTGTTTAGTCTGAGAAAAGTTAGGTCAGAAAATGTTGCTTGAATTGTTGTTTCGTGTACAATTAACATAGCCCTTATCATAAATTTTCTGATAATAGCTGGATCAGTGTGACTCTCTCTTTCCTACCCTCTTCTTTTGTCCCTGTGTATAGCTGCAGGAGCTGATCCATTCTGCAGATCGCATGCTGACCCATTGCTCGAAGAGGCAGGTGGAAGATCTGAAAGCAAAGCAGCAGGCAATAGTGACCAACTGGAAGGCCCTGAAGTCTAAAGTGGAACTGCGCAAGAAACTTCTGGAACAAGCATACAAGCTTTACCAGTTTCAGGCACATGTAAGCACTTCAGCCTTCTGTCTATTGGTATACATGGGCAAGCTGCCTTCAATGTATGTGAGTCATAGGTGCACTTTCAAGCTGCAGGGGTTGATGTAAAAGGCTACAGGTGCTATCTGTGTTATTAATCAAGTATTTAAGTACCTGTAGCTGTTTAGAAAGGTGTTAGAGGATAAGGATCTTTTACCTTCTGTAGGAAAGAAAGCTCATACCCAACTCTGTATGGGATAATTGATAGTTGTCAGAAACGGTCATCACTTCATGGGAGTAGCAGTAGTCTTTTCAAAGATTCTGCAATTCCCACTGAGTAAGAGCAATAAAATGGCTAAAAGTTTGTTCTCTCTCTCTCAGGGCATGTAATAACCCTCAGTTAACTTACTTCATGGAATGCGTCAAATGCAACTCACTGGTCTTTGCAGTAACCTCCCAAGTTGCTTAAGTACAGTGACATGCATATTATCAGCATGATGTCATCATCTGCAATGCACAGTAGTTTTCCAAATAACTCAGCAGGTCACTGAGCTATGATTTGCCACAGAATGCTTTGCGAATGTCAGTAGTCTCAGTGAAGGCACTTGAGCTACACCACCGCAAATTAGTAGATTATTGCTGCAAGTACTGCATTAGCAGGTACTAAAGCACCAAAGGGTGCCCCCTTTTATCATGAAGGAAGTTGATAATGTAGATTTCTAGAATACCTTTACATTCTTCATATTCTTGAACTGTTCCAGGTGTAACTTCAGTGTCAATTAAAGAAACTTCTGGTAGTTGACCTTCTGTTTCCATGTTTGCTGGGAAGCAGAGAATATCCAGGGTATGCTTACGTAGAAAAAAACCTTCCCACAAGTTTGTCTTAAGGTTGTGAGCTGGGATCAAGACCATGATAGAGTGTTACATGATGCTTTTGTGTTAGCATGAGTCTCTTCTGCACATTAGGCTAATCCACTTAAGTCTCTTAAAAGTGTTCAAACCAGCATTACCTGTCATATTTCATAAAAAAAATACATTGTACAGTTAGAGATAAAGGATGTTTATGGCACTCTGTTTTTTTGAGGGTTTGGTCGGTTTGTTTTTTAACTGTTAAGAATCAGTTATCTTGTGCACAACTGTTGATGGGGAAATAAAATGAACTAGAATTTCACTTACGGAAAATGAAAGTGGCTCTACTCATATAGGTGAAAGGTTCATTTGTCCACTGTCTTTCTGACAGTGATCTAAGAATGATGGTAAGGACAAGGCAAACTTCTAGTATCTATTCTTGTAATATATATTAGATTCTGAAAGTCTTCAGTCTGGGGGAATCTTCATCAGGAAATGGATCTTGATGGATTTATCCATTAACACATAGTCACTCAGAGTTCACTTTGTTATTGATTTGTTTCTTAACTTGTGTGATAAATTTAGTTATTGACTTCACATAGAAAATGTCCTGTTGGTGGGGATGCTTCTCTCTTTACTGCTGGAACCATACAAAATACCTTCCGTTTGAATTTTGTCTGAAATCTGTGATGCATCCTGTCATCTGAATGGCAGATCTATAGCCCATTTCTTACTCTGGCCATGTGTCCTTTCATTTGCATTGGTAAATTTACAAGCAATGAACACCTTAAAAATATATAAATCTGTCAGTGCTTAATAGAGAGGGGTACAGAGTCATGAAGGTGCTTTCTTAACATCATAAAACAAAATGACAAAGCCAGGTGACTCTATTACTCAGTGAAGTGCCTAGATGGGATTATGCCTCTGGCATCTCCCTGTCTCTTTGATGTCAGTCTGCTCTCAAGAAGTATCCCTGATCCTCTCAATTTTCATGTCCTTTCCTGACAATAATCCCTGAAGAAGTGAAGAGCTGGTTCACCAATTCATCAAGCTCATCTTTTGGCCCAGATGGGATAAGGCAGGGTTATACAGCCACGTCTAACAGCTGTAAGAATTTCAGCAACTCTAGGGTAGGTTAGAGCAGCTTTACTGAAGAACATACCCCCAAACTGCTGAGTGCAAAGAGGCAGCTTTGCTCCCTTTCCTCTTTCAGACATGCCAAGAGATCCACAAACTTGTTAGTCGCAGTTGTTCAGTGTACTTATTTCATTAGTATTTTTCATATGCAGTCCATGGGTCTTTTTCGTTATGAAATTGTACACAGATTAAGAAGTGAAACAAAACCAAATCAGCCTTTGCATGAAATGAGAATTCTGCACAATCATCTAATGTATCTCCTTGCATACCGTCACGTATGATTTAAGTCTGACTAAGCCCTAACTGACAACATACAGTAACAGTAGAGGGCTCCAAATCTTCCAAGAAATTCTGTCAAGGAAGAGGAATTTAGACATCATAGGTATTTCTGAATGGTTTGAGTTTCTTGTTCTGAAGTTTGTGCTAGGATCTGCATGGTCTCAATCAGACTTTGCTTAGGAGTTTCCTGCAGACTGATGGCTAGTCTACCCTTAAATGTAGCTGGCAATGGCAGTTCAGTAACCTCTTATTGGCTCTTGACTTGCTCCATTGCATTAAATATCCTGAGATTTATGGATTTTCTCCTAATGCTTATCTTAAAATCTCAGGGAGTCTTAGAAATCTGCAGAGCCAAGTGCAATGTCCGTGTCCACAGTGACATCCAGCTATGTGTGAATTAGTTCTGCAAATCAAAATGACAGTAATACATATGCACTACATGGGACCACAGTCCTTTTAAAGAATCACTTAGTAGCTGTGTTCACTGGCTTTAAGAAAAGAGTATCTTGGCTTTAAAGCCTAAACTCTTAGAACCCCAAATTGGCAGTTTTCAACTTTGTGAAAATACTTTTTCCTGACTGGATAGTTCACAAGCCAGCTTTGAGCTGTACAGAATGATGATAGGGATAAAAATCCATGGGTAAAATGAAATGGGCAAGAAGCTATTTCCATTACATAGTTTCCTTCAGCAGAAAAGCCAGAAACAATTCACAAGAGAAAATTTTTAGTTCTCTGCAGTAAAAAAGCATTTTTCTTCAGCACTTACTATATGTAACAGTCTTTTAAAATACACTTTAAAAGGCCCTTTACCACCTCAGAATCAAATCAACTAATCCAAACACAATTAAACTATAACAAAACTTAATTAATCATCCCATATGATCCCCAGTACATTCCTTTGCATTCCTATTTTTTACCAACTGGCACATAAGAGCACAACATCTATTACAGATTCAAATGAGATGCCTAAAGTAAGTGGACCAGTGAAGGTGCAGAATCAAGTGCAGAGAAAGACACGCAGAAAATGCCAAATTATTTTTACTTGCACAAGTTTCTTTAGTCACAATGAGAAAATAATTCTGAGATTTGTTTAAGAATTTTCATGCTCATAATTGCCTCAGCTGAATGCTTCAGACATTTTAAGTATTGTAAATATGTTTATTGGTTCATCAGATTTTGAAAGTAAACTAGCATTACATCCTTGTTCCTTCCAGAATTGAATTTCTATGCCAATCTCAGTCTTATAGTTTCACAAACCAGGAGATGAATCTGCATACCTGATATGCCTAACTAATTTTTTATGACCTCTGACTTGCCTTTTTTCCACCTCTATTAGACTGAGCACGTTTGTTTTTCACCTGAAAATTCCCACTCTCATTTGAGAACATGTGTGCAATTTAAGTTTCAAATAGATTTGTATTAGCCAAAGCTAAGTCACAGGAAAATAGAGTGATATATTGTTTTATCCTCTGTGAATCAATAACACCAGAAAACACTTAATAATGGACTAAAGCATAATAAATGATATCACATTGTCATTGACATGATATAACACAGTTTGATTACAATTACCATATTACATAACATATATGATTTAACATAGTATGTAGAAATTCCTGCAGTCATGTTATCCACCCTTGTTAAAATTCATAGAAATACTTTAAATGCTAACAAAATATTTTCTTTCTTATTTGTTATTTTATTACCTATTATTCACTTAGAGTTGAAAAGTCAGCCTATGATTTTCCTGTCTGATAACCCAAGGTTGAGCTCTAACCTCGACTTTCACATTTTCTTGGGTTCCAGGTGTGGGACTATTTCTCATGGACAGCAGAAATAATAAGGGAAATGAGAGCCAAGGAGACAATTCGGGACATATCTACTAGCAGCCTGAGACTTACCCAGCATCAACAGCTACTGGCAGAGATTGAAGCACGAGAAGAGAAGTATAACCATGTTGTACAGCTAGGACAGTCACTCTTGCAAGATGATGAAATAGGATCAAAAGAGGTAATTGAAACTCATTTGAGTTCAGTCACACACATTCAGCTACTCGACACAGTGTAACTGTCATTCTGTGCCATATTTCGCTGTAAGCACACAAATGCATGTGTACACTCACACGTATCCACACATGCATGACCTTAATTTGCCTCAGTGTGTTACCTAGCTTGGGCACAAAAACATCTGTTCCATTTCCTGCCTCAGCAGTAGATGAGTGCTGGCATCTCCTGAGGGCCTGCTGTAGCAAAGCTGGGCTTATTCGAGAAGTTCACTATGTTCTGAGCAATGGAGATAATTCTACTCACTTCCCAAACTGGGTTTTCACACAAATACTATGCTTCATATTACAGTGCTATATCCATACCAGACCAGGCTGGAAAAAAACCTGTCAACCAAAGAATCGAAACACTCAAACATATGAGAGACTTTAAAGATTAATTGAAACATTTTCTGTAGTAACGAATTATGCTGGTATATTTAACTCCCTGGAAATGAAAGACAGAAATCAAAATGTCAGTTTACCAAGACAAACATCTTCTAATACTCTTACAGCATTATTTCTTTTCCAGTACCTACTAGTTTACTTCTCCCCCGACAACTCATTTTCATGTCTCTTGAATATCTTCAGAAAACTGCAGTTTCTGCAAATTACTCTCCCATTTGACAAAGCTTTTTCCTGTAAATTTGTTGAATGTTGCTATGTATTACTATAGTAACTAGAAATTTTCCTGACTGTAAAGCCCTTTGACTGTAGAAAAATGTAGGAAAAAAAATAATTTATAGAAGTCCTATGGTTATATAGAATTTGGAAGCTGAAATTGCATGAGGTCTGACATTGAGGCATATATTCACTGATTAGGAGAATATGCTATGTTGATAACTTATTTAAGTATCTGTCCTATCTCAATTTGAAGTGCTATAATTGCACCATTATGACTAAAGATAACAGAAAATTAGGATTTGATTCTAGAAGGCACACCTGAGAAACACCTACCTTTGCTCTTGGCTTGGACCACTACATGTGCTATAAGAAGTGCTCTTCCATTCCTGAAATGAGGCACCTCTGATTATCTCTCTGACTGAACATAGGCGCTAGAACTTGGTTTACTTTTTTCTGTTTGATAATTTTATTGCAATTTAAGGGGTTTATCCGCCACTCCACCTAATCCTTTCTCCTCCCACCTTACCCTGGTCCATGGGGTATAAAGACCAACATGAGTTTCTCATTGGATATTGTGTTCAGATTCAGAAGAAGCTACAGGCTCTGTTGGAAGAGAAAGAAAATGTATACAATGAATGGAAACAGAAGAAGGAGTGGCTGGAGAAAATACACCAAGAACAAATGTTCTACAAGGATTGGGATCATCTGGACATGCTTCTGAATTCACAGGAGGTATGTGAATTATAAACTTGAAATAAGCAGTTAAATTCTTCAAGCATTTGAACTCTTCCGAACTGAAAAGGGCACTACTGTTCACCTACAACTTTAAATCCTTGGGTCTGTGTATAGAAAAAACACTCTTATTATTGTTATTATTTGCATTGTGGTATCACTTGGAGACTGTAGCAGTGTACAAGACCCCTTTCTTATGGGACTTAGGCGTGGAACCAGAAACAAAAAGATGATCCTTGCCTGAAAGATAATTCATTGGAAACATAAGAGCTAACAGATGAGAGTCACAACAGAAGAGGGAGACAATGGTCCAGTATTTGTCAGCTTTACAAACAGATCACAGCACACCAGCTGCTTAACCACTGGCAAACTGTTTTGTAGGCTCTAGAGAGAAGGGAAATTGTAAAGCTGGTTTGAAGGAGGACAGGGAGATTACTTTGCAGATGTTGCTGGAAACCTCACCCCAGGCTGAGGGTTAGTGCTGGGGAAATGCAACTAGTGGAAAATGAATGTTGGCAGTGTGAGTTAATCCAGGAAAAGGAATTGACCTCTCGGGTCTGCAAGGGAATTAATAGCAGTGTGGGAGAACAACTATGAAAGAATTTGATTGTGAGGAATATTAGTTTCTGTTTGATACAGTAGAGAAAGATGAACTAGTGAAGAAAGCCCTCTCATGAAAAGAGAGGGCTGATACAGTTAATGCAAAGAGACAGAAGGATGTTCTTATTATCATCATTTTGTGGCTCCCAAAATAGATTTTTTTTTACCATTTTAAAATCATATTTTGTCTTTCTTGCACTTTCCTGGATTCACAGAACTATTTCAAAATGTTCCAGCTTGAGACCTGACATTTGCTATTACAAAACTTAGTGAAGAATTCAGAAGTCTTTTCCAGTCACTCTATGAAAATTCATGGGTTGATAGATTGCTGTAACTGTGCTGAGACTTGGCATGCAAACCACATTGATGGGTTGAAGGTTGCCAAACGGAAAGGTTGAAGCAAAGCTGAAGGAAGTTGTACCTTTGGGTCATTTCTTATTAAGGAAAAATAATTCTCCAAGACCACTGGTAGCATAATATAATGGCTCTCGGTTTGTGCTGAGCGATGTTTTCCACCAGTGCTTTGCCACTGGCATTAAAACTTTTGGAAGATTGACCCTGAGCTGTGCTGCACCGTGATACTTAACCCTTTGGGACACATGGGCTTCAAGCCTTCTGCTACTTATTCCTCAAAGGAAATGCATATCTTCATGCATACCTACAGTTGGTACCCTTGGCAAGTATGGCCTGCATTCTGAGTTTGTGCCAAAACATGAAACCAAGAGAGTTTCACATAGGTTCAGGTTTCTGGAATAAAATATGACATAGTTCTTCCATTAAATTTTTTTATTTGTTGCTTAATTAGCAAATGGCACAATTTGCATGATATCTATCTCAAGTCCCTACCAAGCAGTGATCCATCATTGGTAAGCTCCTGCATGGGGACCATCATCAGGGAAAATGTAAACTCTACAAAATTTTGGCTGCTGTATTCTTTCTCTTTTCATGAAATGGAGATCAGCCAACATGCAGAGGCACTGTGACTGTGGCATCGGTTTTGCTGTATATACCTCAGGAGTAATTACGTACGAAGCTGCTGTGGGTTAGTGTTTCTTCTGGCCCCTCAGTCATGAGTCCTGATTGGAAAAGACTGTGTTATCCTTACATGAAAGGGATTGCACATGGCAATGTCTGTATGCCTCCAACACATTCTGTACAGGTAAACTATAGTTCACATTAATGGTTTATTCAGATTAATTTACCATGGCCATATTCTGTGAGGTAGACTGCCACAAAAAGGGATGAGTGTTCATCATAGACTGGATAAATTCTCGTGGTAGAATCAACCACAGTGCCTGTCTCTACCACAAGTTTCTTCAGCCAAAGTAAAGCCTGAGAATGAAGACTGTGACCTTGAGGACAACAAAGGGCATTCTGTTATCAGAGTATTTCTCTTGTGACATTTTCTTTACGAACTTCTAAGGAGCCTGGTAGTTGTTCTCACTCTTAAGTGTTCAGTAAGTGGAACAGTAAAGTGTGGATACTTGGTTGTCCCTCCCAGCACCCCTTCTCACAGGTGGTATTTTATGGTCAGGGAGAATCACGAGAAAATAAGCAGAAGGGTATAATGACAAGCGGATCTTGTCCATGTAGGTATAGAGAATGAGGGAACCACAGTCACCATATGATCTTAAATTACTTCCACCATCATCTGCATCTGATTTTTTGTTTTTAAAGAGCACTCAAGTTGAAAAGAACACTCCAGCTGTGAAAAGAAGATTCATAAACATTTTTGTTTCTCATTTTTGCTTCTATTTAATCCTCAGAAGTTTACAACTGATTGAAGAACTGTTGTTTTTTGAGACTTCTTTGCCTGTAAGGAATTACAGTTGCAAGCTCACAGAATTACTGTTATAAAATGGAAAAGTAGGTCACCATGGTGTGACATACAGACAAATGTGTCTCATATTGTAGTCAATGACCAAGTATATATACCTGCAATCTACCAGGGAAATTAAAGAACATCATGGATTTCTAAATTGATAATCTGGATATCACAGTCAGTCATACGTCTCCTTTTTCATGGACGCAGTCTCTACCATCACTCAGCTACCACAATGCCTAGAGGAGACTGTTACGGATTAGTGCTCGAATTTAATCCAGGATATGTATAAGTGCTGTTACGTAAGAAGAAGAAACACTGAATTTGCTCATATCCAAGGATGCAAATAAAAAGATCCTCAATGAGCTGTGAGCATTCAGGATGAGCATCAAATCTTATTAGTCTGGATGCACCAATCGTGCCGGTACTGTGAACAGCTTTCCTTTCTGGAATTATTAGTTTTCCTCCATCACAATGACTCCCTCTTGTGCTGTCCATTTTTGTCTTCTTGGTTTTAACCCACAGCTGACAGTGAGTAGAAGTACCATGAAGCTGGTAGCTTCCCAGGAACATCAGCCTGCCTCAGAGCTAAAGAGTATTAGTGAAAGCATATCTCTGTACTTCACAGTGCACTGCTACCTGCTCATTTTAAACCATATTTTGCCATCTTTAAGTCAATTTCACTGATGTGAGACCTGTCAATGTTGATCACCTCAGCATCCCAAGCAGTGTCACTCCACAGTGAGTATACAGTGATGCAGGTTTAGGCTATTATGCTGCTGAGAAAACAGAAACTACATGTGTTTACATACAAAATGAGCTGCGTCTTTGAAGAATTTATGGGATGAAATGAATAAAGAAAGCAAATTGTTGCAAGAAGAGGCTCATTTGCTGCTGTTCATGGAAGAACAGGAAGGAATTTGCCTTCTGCTGGATTCTAGTCCTTCCTTAATATGCAGTGCATCAGCCTGGCCCTGAATAGAAATGGCAACATTGTTCTGATTCCTCTACAGTTGGAATTCCTGTATTCCCAGAATATCCTCCATTGCTTTTGTTCTCTCATCTCTAATGTGATCATTCTTCAAACAGGTTATTCCTGTGCTGTGGGACTCCCATCTAACTGAGGGAGAAATAGCAAGAACCACAAAACTGTCTTTTGCTGCTTCCACCGTCTGCCTTACGGATCAGTACATACGATTTGACAGTGAACTAAGGTTCCTTAGTCACTATTTGTATCTTACTTCTCTGCATTTGAAGAGCAAATGGAAGAGGAAACTGTTCCTTTTGGTTGGAGCTCTGTTACTACTATGTGGAGTTAAAATGCGGCTGCATAGCAACACAGACTCTGCTCCCTAGGGAGTCAGGCAGGAGGGTAGGAAAGCAGTTCTTTCAAACACATTTTCAAAAAGTATTCAACTAACACATCAATTGAAGACTCTCAAATCACTTTCCCGAAGGGAATATTGTCATTTTCTACTTTCAGAAAGGACAAAAGCAAACGCACATTCAGAAAAGATTTCTATCAGACAAACAAATACAAGCAATCTCTCCACCCCTTGTTTCTTCTGACTTCTGTGTTTGAGGCAAAGCTTAGTCATGTGCATTTCATTTTGCGTATCTGCAAAATATGTGTATAAGAAAGCAGCTTCTGTCATCCCATCATTTTTGCATCCTATTTTCCTAGTACTTCATACACCTTAGACCAAGCCTCTCCCCCCACAGCAAGGAACAGGAGAAGGAAGAAGGCAACAGAGAAGCATTTTAAACTAAGAACTACTGGTGAGAACTGCTCTCTCATTCGCTGTCTGTGCCAGTGTGACAGGTTTGACTTTATGCCAGCATCTTATATTACATCCAAGTTACTTAAACCTTCGAAGGATTTCTGCAGAATTCGGTCTAGGATTGTTCTGTGCTAAAGAAAACAGAGCACATGTGGAGAAAATTAGGCAAACATCTATCTTTTTTAAAATTTTTGTTACTGTGAATTGAGTTGTACCGTTGCACGGAACTGTTGCAGGAAACTCTCCTAAGACCTGCGAACTGAGATCTTGCCATTTGGAGTGCAGACAAGCAACAGCTGAAAAAGAGAAGGAAGAAAAAAAAATCATTTTTGCTTTGAGCAGAAGCAGTGTCCAGTACACTCTGCTCCATTCTAACCTTTTCACGGCAGCAGATGCATTGCTCAGGTTAGCTGCTTTCCTTTTTTTCGCAGATGAAATAACAGCGAGTTTGCAGGCTGTCTCTGGCAGGCGTTTTTGGCTCCCTCCTACTCTGTCTGCAGTCTCACTGTCAGAACACTGAGAGCAGAGCCTCATGCTCCGTAATTTATCTTTCTGCCCATCCCACTCTCATATCACTTTGCAGACGTGACAGGCGGTGGTAGCAGTATTAGAAGAACTGTGAGTTTTTATTTTTAATGTGGATTTTTTTAGTTTATAATTTTTTTCTTCTGGAGAATGTTTATTCATCTCTCATTCCTTTGCTTCAGAGGAAGAATGGAAATTTCCAGTGCCAAAGGAAAAAGGATTAGGAGTTGGTTTTAAAAACAGGGGGAAAAGCAAGCTTCTGTGGCTTTGAT